GAGCATGTTTGGTAGGACGGGGATTCGAACCCGCGACCCTCAGATCGCTAGTCGAGCGCCCTAACCACCTGGCCATGCCGGGCCTAAATTAATAATGAAAAAAATTCTGAAAAAGCTATCCAAAACAAAGCAAGTTACTGATAATCCATGGTTAAGTAATAAGCATATTTTACTACATAACAACAATTATTTAAAACAGAAGTGTAATGGGTCCTTCAAAATAACAATGGATTTCCAAATTTGTGTATAACTTACTGATTAGTTTTGTTGTTAATTTCTGAAGTTTTTGTCTCCTCAGAATTGTCCTTTATAGTATCTTTCTTTGAATCAGATGTTGAAAGAAAGTTCTCAGGAGTGCCTGGCCGACTTTTGGATCTAATTTGTTGGTTAGCTTTTGGATATTCATCTTCAATCATTACACTACTACTGGAAGGCATGTTAACTGTTGGAGACTGTACAAAGTCCTTGTAAATGTGACCAACTGGCTTAGTATGACCATAGATAGCCTGATAGAGTTGATTGCCACCCCAGCTTTCATGACTTGCACGTAGGTATGATTCATTACGAAGAGCACTTCCCCTATTTGTTTGAGTGTGGGGCCCTTGTCCTGTTAATCTCTCAATTACAGGATTTCTACCAGCAAGGAGAGGATCAAAAATGAGATTCTTTTTATCAAGAATTTTATTTTCTCTTTGATTCATGTTTTCATCAAAATCTGAACTCGATTTAGGAGTAAGGACAGCTCTAAAGTTCTTTGACTGCCCTTCTTCCTTATTTTTTCCCATGTTTACACTACTTGCTTTGGTATCCTTTTTAACAGAAACGTTTTGTCCTTCTGGTGACTCACATCTAGAATCACTTTCGGAGCTAAATACCGAATCGTTTAGATGATTTGAAACAAATAAAACCTGACTTTCATCACCTGTTTCACCAACACTGAGAGATGAAATTCTGCGAGCAATTTTTAGAGTGATGGCATCTGGTATAATACTTGAGACTTCACCTCCGATCATCGCCCTTCTCAAAGTCCTCATAGCCTCTGTGTTTGTCATGTTGAGCAAGGAAATTCCATTAATACTTAGCAACTGGTCATTTGCTATAAGTCGCCCATCCTTTAATAAATAAACAAAGTGATATAAAAAACAACATAAAATTGGACTTAATGGAAAGAAGATTGCTAAAAACTAATTGATTAATGCTTAAATACCCATTCTTATGCTTCCTTATCAAATATATAATTTATCACTTTGTTAGTGCAGGTAATAAGTAGAACATAACCCTTTCCATTATAAAATATTAGGTTTTATGTGCCATACAACAATTAAATTCACTTGAAAGAACAAAAAACAATAAAGGAATAAAACTTCTGACTGACGTTCAGAATTGATTATTATGCAAATCAAAATCTTGTACTATACTAGATCTTTTTTTCCAAACAATAATATCTAATACTATATTCAGCATCTTTGGAAAAAGCAAAATCTACATACAGTAAACAAATACAGTTAGGCCAAAACATGTTGAAAACAGTTTGTAACTGTTTTAACTTTTCACTGTTCATACAGTATGCCCAAAATAAAGCCAGGATTTAAAAATAAAATAGTACTTCTAAATGAATATAAATATTTTTCAGATATTTCTTTTATTCTGATTGACGAGAAGAAAGAGTAATTGAAATCATTTTCAGCCGGCTTGTCAAGCTTAATTTTCTTGCAATGCTTGTCAAGTTGAATTTCATTCTTATTTGTGAAACAAACCTTAATGATTTCATACTACTTCATTTTATAAAACTCAGTGAATGTACAATTATTAAATACTTCCTTTTGGTGCAACATACAAGCGATAAATATGAAATGAAACTGATGGGCATGAAGGGTTAACCCAAGTTGCATGCCCTGACTTTGTACAGAGTGTCATTCAATATAGCATTATGTTTGTTTGTTTTAGAGCAAAACCACATTGGGCTATCTGCTGCATCCACAGCAGGGAATTGAACTCCAGATTTTAGTGTTGTAAGTCCATAAACTTGCAGCTGTCCCACCAAGCAACATAGTATTATGTATTTGGTGACAAGTTTACTAATATTTCATGTTATCCCACATTACTGATGCTGCAACAGCTTGCGTTAGGATAAAATACCAGATGCAACATACAGGGATGTTGAAAAAAACTTTAGATATACTTTTAAAAGGTTATAGAGGATATGCACATACAATTTGCAAAATTTATGATGGAATAAAGTACTTTTAATTCTTCACATACATGCACATCATTATACACTCCTATCAGTCTGTGTCAGAACGACTATGACATTTCACAGACTATCTTTAGTACAAAAACTTTAGTAACACATCCGACTTTGTGTGTAAGATAGACAAATACAGTTGACTAAAAGCTTGCCACGTTCTGTGACAGTTCTCTTCATAAATTTAGAATTATAGTTAACATTAATTCTCCAACAGACCAACCCCATGTCATCATTCTCTACATCATTACATTCCTGAATCTGGAAGGAGAGTACACAAGTTAAAATTTCAGAAGAAAAATAGACATCTTCTTACTCAAATAACTTGGTATTTTTTCTTAGGAAAGTTAAGTTGTTATACATTTCTATTCAACTCATGGAACCAATAATGAATTTTAATTTATATAAACTGAATTTGTAGAGTATAATTTAAATTTTCATACCTTGGAAGCAGCTCCTCCATGAATAACAGACTTTACAAAAATCCCTAAATCTACTGGTCCGGTAGGATTCATTGATGTGCGACCTTTAACACTGACTCCAAGCCCTGCTGATCCCGTGTCATTTAAAGGAATATCAAAGGTTAACACCTCTTTGTGCTGCCAAGGATATATCCCAACACCATCACCTGCCTTTTCTGGTGGCTAATTTTTCAAGACAGAGAAATATAAGTTTCTATAAACAAATTAGTGAAGATAAATTAAAGTATTTTAAAATTACAGAATATAGAACAAATTCTATAAAATAATGTTCATGAGCAAGTGTTATTTTCAGCCATGCAAGACACAATTAATGTGAATTATACCAGATGCAGAATTAAAATTCCAAGACAAGACAAAGACTAGCAAAAAAAAAAAAAAGACCATAAGCAAAAATATTATGTATGTGTATAAAATTTTTTAATAATGTATTGTTGTTAGCCTTATTATTTTCATACAGTGAAGAACTAACAGTTAACTTGAATCAGTAACAGAATATATGACAGGCAAAATAATTTTCTTATTAAACCACTATACAATGATGTGTTCATTTAACAGAAATACTACACATGATATTTCTAGGTGACTATAGGTGTACCAGCTGTAACTGAAAAACACTACAGGCATTATTTTCCTATTTTGTGGTTTACTGCAAAATACTTGTTAAATATTCAGTAAAGGAAAAAATAATAAAATACTCAATAGCAATGAAATATACCTGTCCATTTAAAATGACATGGACACAGCTCTAACCATAAAAGAAAAAAACTACTTTATGACCATGATTTTTAACCATACATACTTTTTTACATTGCTACTATATTATTTTGTATTATTTAAATTGGTTTCTCCATTTCCTATATCATTTTCAATTTTACTAAAGCTAATAAGACAATATGCTTGAATAAAAATGATACACTAGGTGACTATTATTGGCAAAAACCTAGCAGTGTTGCACTAACTTAACATTAAAAATCATTAGCCGTAACTGTATTATTGAAGAATCCTATCTAAAGCATGTTTTTACCTTTAAATTACATCTCAAATATTGACTATATGTGTTCTATGCAATATATTCAATAATATAAAATAAACATATTCAATTTAATACAGTCATTATGCTTATTTGGATGGGTGATATTCAAACATTTTGTGTGGTCTTTCATATTCTTTTTTAAGGTCAAATTATTATGAACAAAATTATCTTTCATAAGTAACTTACACTCTTAGCAAATTTAAACTATTATACATAAAAAATTAATTGGGCTTAAGACTGAGTGTCCACCTTGCATTGTAAATAAACGGACAAAAAATTACACCGTGTCAGAAATACATGAATTTTCAGAATAACTTATTTCACTTTTGAATTTTTGTATGCCTGATATTTATACATTATACTTTCTGTTGTAAATGTAGCTTGCAAATAATTTGGCAGATAGACTTTGTCCAACAGCTATTTTAAGAAAAGCAACAACAAAAATTCTACACTGACATTCCAGTATACATCTTTAAATCCCTGACTTACCAGCTGCCGAGGAAGGTTAGGGTTTATTAGTGCATCAACATCTTGCCTTGATACAACTAGAGTTACAATGCTACCTGGTGAGATATTTCTTAAAACTGCTGCTGCTTCAGCTTGGGAAAGGCCTGTCATTTCAATTTCATTAACCTAGCAAAAAAAAAAAAAATCATCTATCATTATTTAGTTCTAAATGTTTTATGGAGTAGCAATCCTCTCACCAGATTCTAGGAACACAGTGCTATCTAGTTAAAATTATAAGGATAATATAGAGCAATTGTCTAAAATATAGAAGAGATAAAGGATATATTATCAATAGAAAATAACAACATGAAGAAAACCTATATGTAGAGATTATTGTAATAATGTTTGGATACCTTACTCAGTTATGTTTTCACAGATGTTTTCTTTATTTATGAAATCTTCTACTTTTACCAACAAAATGTCTTCTTGGCTTCCAAACTTTCCTTTTCATCTTGCTTTCTCTTCTTTGCTAGTCTTGCCTCTTCCAAGGCCTGCCTATATTCCTGCAGTCTTTCTTCATACAGAGAACACATATCTTGGACTGCCCTTCACATGCCTTTGTTTAGCTCCATCCTGTGGATTGGACTATTTAATTTTGAATGCTCTTTGATGGTATGCAGGCTTAGGTTAGTCCACTCTTTGAAAACTTAAGTTCACATTGTGATCTCTTAACAATTGCATTTCCATGTGACAGACATAGACAAAGACTTGATGAGCTTTGGTATAATCTTATATCTGGATCCTTGGTAGCTCGGAGAAGTTGAAGGTACTACAAAGATGTTCCTTGAACATCCACCTTCTTCTGTGATAAGTTCTATCTCCTGCTCTGACACTACATTTCAATTTTTCCCTGTTAAGTTCCTGACAGAACTCAGATCTGCTTCCTTCTTCTGAAGAAATGGATGCAGATATGCCAAGTTTTTGAGCATTTCTTTATCTAGAGGCACATATCAGATCAAGTACTTTGTTATGATCATGAAGAACCTCTTCTCACTCAGTGTGCCTTTCCTACATATCACTGGAGGACAGTTGATTCTTTATCTTTAAGGTTTTCCCTCTTTGTTTACTGATAACACCTTGTTTCAGGAACTTTTTCATTATTCTTGAGAAAGATTTCATGAAGAACATAAAAAAAGCCGATCACTTTGGAATAATCTAAGAAACTTTTGTACCTTACGGTCAATGGACACAGTGCATTTCAGCCCAACCAATGGTACAGTTTTTGACAAACAAAGCATATGTTGTGGTACCTTTCAGTTCTGGAGAGTATTTATGATGTTACATGTTAGTTCTTGAAATCATGTAAGTTGCAGAGATTGTAATCAGAGGAATTAAATATTTTTTTGTTATCATTATGTGGAATGGATTTTGCATTTTTTTTTCTCCCCAAACAATCTAAAAGAATCCACCCACAAATAGAAAACATTTTAACAATATGCTTTCTTCATGTTGTTCCAGCACTTTCTGACCTCATACCCATAGTTCTGGAACATAAACTTAAAATCACAATGTTCCAACACAGACAATAAACCTCAAGAAAAAATATACATTTTGTACTCAAGGGTAATAATCACTCAGTGCAAGACTGAAATATGGTGTCACAAGAAGTATCACTATGAGAATAAGCACATGAAATATTGTAGCATTTATTATTAAAAATGTTTGTTGAGAATATAGAGGGAAGTCGTACATTTTTGATTTAAAATAGTTCATTTTCCTACAGTTGACAATATATAATTGGTGGAGGATTGGTAAAACAGATATAGAATGTAGTTTTTAAATACACACTAACTAATGATGAAAACAAATCTTGCTCTTTCATAGTTTAAGTGAAATGTTTTTTGTAGTAAAGAACTTGTATGACTAGAAAAAAAAAAGTTATAATTCTAGGATTTCAATCTATCAATGAAACCTTCTATTACAATTTGAAGAAAAGGTAGGGTGAAAAATAATAAAACATGGTAAATGATATGTAAAACACATTCATCAAATAGTACACACTAAATATTGTTCCTGCACAATGAAATCAGTATTTCTTTTTTGTAAAACTAACAACTAGACTTGCAAGATCAATGATACAATAGAAAAATGTCAAACCTGTAAAAGTCTATCTCCAGCCTTAAGTCTTCCATCTTGTATTGCAGCTCCTTTGGGTAAAATATTCTTAACGTAGATAGGACAGTGACCACGAGCAGGATTATCCCGGGTAGTAATGCTGAAACCTAAGCCATCAGGTCCTGAAAATATGAACGTTAACACTTTATTTTTAGTGAAATTTTGGTGAGTAATAGTAAAATACATATTTACTCATATGAAAAAAACAAAGTATAGTCTGGACACACTGTGCATGTAGTGTATTGTAGCTTGTATTACACTCTGCAAAAACCATTTTGGTTAACCATTAACGCAATAAAAAAAAAAGACTAATAATGCATTTACACATTTTGTCACATTAAATATTAAATACTAAAGTCATTATTTCAGCTTTATACTACATGTAATGCTCTTTTACATTATAAAAGATGGGCCTGTTTTTACCTTTTGCTAGTTTTACTTGAAGTTTTCTTCCTATTTTCCTGGTGTTAGATGTAAGTAGCAAATTCTTCTGACCTAGTGTGATTGACTGTCCTTTACTGGATGGAACGAATAAGTTATCTGCATTTGTTTGTTCTGAAAAACAGATTTCAATAATGATAATTCATGTAATATGAATCACACATTTAGAAAACCATTGATCAAAATTAAACTCTCTGCTTAAAACTTACGTACAAGTTCTGTTTTTCTGAATCTAACGACGTTTCGAAAATCTTCCTCTACATTTGTAGGTTTCTACAACAGGCAGTTGCTATCCATTTGAAACTTAGATTCATTATGAATACTCTGCCTAAACAACCTATTAAAAATTCTGTTGCATTATCAGTTTTTATAAGTCTAACACTCTGCACAACAATACATACACAATTGTTTGTTTGTTTATGGCAAAGCTACTAAGGTTATCTACTGCTGTCCCTACTTTTGAACTGCCAACTTTATAAAAACAAATTTCTAGGCCTCCCTGGGCCACTGCAAGGTTCCTTTTTTAAAAATATAGCAAACTTTGATGTCACAAATCACGAAAATATAGTGTAATATATATACATGTAAATAATTAACATTTGACTAATAATAAATATGAGTTTCTATACCCATCTTTAAAAATTACATAAAGAAACCAATTTTTTCATGTGATGGCAAAGATTTTACCATGCAAGTTGTGATAATGAAGTCTACATTATTTCCCAAAATAAAGAATGGGTCAAAATCATTATAAATCCATAGATCTCTACTGAATAATTATAGTAATATCACAATTATAATATAAAACTTTTGTTGGGATGTTTTTTGTTAAATATATATGTTTATCTTCAAAATTATAGGTTTTAAAGGTCCTTTGGCCTATTTTGAATAAAAATAAAGTATGAAAATGATAACACTAGAGGGCCTGTATTTCATAACTCAACACTGCTTAATAATGCAAAATGAACTCTAAGAAAACTTGTACCAAATTCTGCTAGCATCAGTTTTCAAGTAATTTATTAAACTGAAGACCCAATACCTTTTTCTGTTTCTTCCACTAAAGTTTTGTCATGCAGGTTAGCCTTTTCTAGAGAGGAAACACTTTCCTTTTCCAATGGTGACAGAATGCCTTGGGAAGATGACTCAGATCCCTTTCTGAGTCGAATTCGAATCTCTGGATCTTTAAGAGCATTCTTAAATATTTCTTGAGCTTTTTGAAAGCTAACATGGACTAGACTTTGCTCATTGATTTGAACTATCCTGTCACTGACCTGTAACCTTCCATCTCTGTCCACTCTACTACCCGGTTCTACTCCCTGCACTATTAATCCAGTATCCCTGTGTATATTATAAGCAATAGAAAAATTTATTACAAATAAGTGTATAGATTACACAAGTTAATTAGAGATTTCTTAATGATATAGCATCACTAAGCTTCATAAAAAGTTTGAAAGCACTCAACAAATGCTATGTAGATAAAAACTGTCCTTACACTATGCACTTGCTTCTTTTTCTAGCATTTCAATTTTCAGGTTGTCAATTGTATTTTGATAATTAGGACATTAAGAGCCAAAATACAATAATATTACTAATTTTTCAGTTCACAGAAAAGATGTGATTGTTAAATTACAGCTTATACATAACATATTCTACATGAAGGTAATGTATGGTTTGGAATGTGGTTTCGGCATGTATTTACAATAACATGAGAATGTTGCTATTTGTTATTCTCCTTAGTGTAAAAAAAAAACATTTTAAAAAAACCTCTAATAAATGACCATAAGTTTCAATTTTAATTTCCTTTTCTTCTCAGTTTATCACAGAGAAATAAGAAAACCCAGAAAAAAATATCAGAAAATATATGAAGCTTAAGAAAACAAAAACATGTAACACTTGAAGGCTTGACAAAGACAAGTTCAATAAATTGACAAAACAGGAATCATAAAGAAGAAAGCATTGCATCATAACAAAGATAGCACCGAAAACCTTGGAAACTAACCAGGAGCTTTCTATTCTTTACTGATTTAAACTTGATTGTTATTCAAAAAAAAACTCTTTCTACCAGATCTTTTTTTAGGTGAACACTTTTCTCTTTTGTGCATATTACTTACAACATACTGCTTTTAACAAAATTAAATATCAGCTACCAGCACAAAATACATCACTTCCAACTGCAAAAACAAGAATGATTTAACACCTCAATACTTTCAATACATCACATTAAATAGGAAATTTACTGCTAGGCTACTTTAAAAACAATCTACAATTAACTCTCCATATTATACAATATCAGTATCACTCTTAATAAAACCTTACCAGATTGACTCTTAATAGTAATAAAATTTATAAGAAATTTAACTACTAAAAGATATTATAGTGTTAAAAAACTATAACATTTTTTATAAATAATGGATGAGTGATTTTGTTAATAGTATTACATCAATATTGATTGTATACAAATTACGAGGTATTGAATATTATATTATGAAATTCAACAACAAATTCCTAAGATACATTATTACTCAAACACCATCTAAGTATTAAAATACACATGGTTCATTTTATAGAAAATTTTATAAAAAAAGCTTAATGCACGTGAGACAACTACCATAGCAAGAGTAAAACACACCTTCCATAGGAGTCATGTTCAGGAACAACATGGATGCCAAGAGGACCTGGTTCATTTTTTAAAGTAATTACCCTGTGTAGTTTGAAGAAAGTAAATGAAAAATATTAATGCATATAGCATTGTTAAACTGCTTATAAGCTATTATGCTGTAAAGCTAAGTGAAAAATCATATTTGTAATAAATTTTCTCTCATTTGATTGAATTAATATCTTTAAGTATTGAAATCCACACATTGAAAACACAAAATATATAGAAGTAAGAAAGCACTTTTATAATTTCCTAGCACTGACATCGCAGTGTTTCAATGCTATAAACTTAGTTTTTCTCAGTTCTAAGTAAAGACTTCAATGCATGTGTCTGGAAGCACAATAATCCTAATATAATAGTAAACTGAAAATAATGATTTATAAGCACAATAAGTGTTTCGTTTACATACTACATGTTTCAACAGAACATCGGTCTGTCTTCCATCTGAAGAAAATATACCAATGTTCTGTTGAACAATGTAGCATTTTCCCCAAAAATAAACCACTTCATCATTCATTGTTGTTTGTCAATTTACTATTAAAGACTTTAATAGTGAGACTGGGATTTTTTCATCTCTGAGTAAAGATATAATCAGTATCAGTGATTTATGCTTTTCTACAGGACTATATATATATTCTGACATGCAATAAAAAAACTCGATAAACTAACTTGTCATCATTTTCTACACTATCCTCTTCTGAAAGGCTGGTCGTGGCTACTGGTCCTCCTACTGGCTCTTTTCTCTCCACATTTTTCATCTGTAAATAATAGTAGCAATTTTTTAGTATTAAAAACATTTATAAAAATTATATAGAAAAATAATTTATTTTTTAAATATATTTAATTCCTGCAATAGCAAACTGAGTGTTATGCTAATATTTAACCCACTGACTGTGGCTGCTCTAAGCAAGAGCAGAAGTTTTGCAAGCCGTACACTATATACGGCACACTCGCATTCAACTGTCAGAGGTGGATCGTACCCTATACAGCAAATCAGCAGTCAATGGGTGAAGAAGTAAATATGTAAATAACATAACTAAAGCACATACTGAAGATACCTGAATACTTCAAAGGAGGTATTTATCGTAACAATTTTTTCATAGTGTTTCTATAATGTTATTTCAAAAGTATTAACTGTATGGAAAACAAATGCATCCTTGAAAGAACTGGGATTATTTATGAATCAGTAACAATCTTGACATCAAAGCCACATGGCTACAGATGATCATTTTAGATCTTCTTCCACTTTAATAAACAAACTCATCTCTGACAAGGTGTTATCTTTGACTTTCTCTAGCCCGAGTTTACCTCGTACACACTGTAGTAAATCTATGGGATAAATGACTGTTGTATGGACAAATTATTAGGCACTGATTAGAAATTATTCATAATATTCTTAAGTTGTTCCCATTAAAAAATTTCACAATAAACAAAATGATACTGCTGGACAATTCTTTTGAATGTGATAGTGTTCAGATATATTATAATTATCACAAAAGAAATAAGGAAGAAGTGTTTACTATTTCTTCAACACTAATCATCAGAGTATGAATATATAATAATACTTCAGTGGGGTGTATAGTATTTGAACATTCATAACTACTGATGCATTAACCATAAAAATCAGGATGTATGCAGAAAAAAAACCATTACACATAAAACTAGCATCAGAAATATGAGGTTTTTATTCACCACTAAACTTATAAATTCTTCCACAAGATACAACCATATGTACATAAATTAGCAATAAAGGTTTTTAATTACTACAACTGATCTGAATCTCACCTGTTCAAGCTGTTTTTGAGCTGCTTCTTCCCATCGAGAGGCCTCTATACCATTAGCTAATATGGACATTCGAGCAGAACTACGAACCCCAATACGTAAAAAATCAGACCTCTCTTCCTCTGTTGCCATATTGTTTTCAAAAGGCATTGATTCAGGTTCACCCAGACTTTCCTTTTGTGAGGAATATATTGAAAATAGATTAATGAATTTATACAGAAGCTTAATGTTCAACCCAAGCAACACATTAAAATGAAATTAAAATATTAAATAACTAAAAATACTTAGCTTTATTAAAAGAATCATATGTTTTGTTGCATGTTGAAAATTTTGTTTGTTTATATTATGGCAAAGATACACAATAGACTGAGTTCTTTCCATCATAGGGAATCAAACACCTGATTTTAGCATTGCAAATCTGTAAACTTTTCATTGACCTACTGGAGGACTATATTGACAAGAAAAATGGTCTTTCTCATGTGTGAAACACTTATCTTTAATATACATGTTCTTATTTACAATACAAAAATTCCACTGTTTTATTTACATAATATGTAACTAAAGAATTTTAAAATTAAATTCTGGTCTGAACAACAGTCTGCAATTTAATTACTATACAGTACATTCTTTTTTTGTCTCAGTTTCTATGAAATATGTCTGTAATAAGCAGGAAAGGAAATAGATTTTAGGAACTAGGTATACACTTAGAAGGAGCAGTGGGGTGATAGGTATAAAAAAGCAAATAGAAAAGACAGGAAGTTCATATTTTATATTCTAGCTTGTTAATATCGGTAATTTGAGTTCCTAATTCGTAAGAAATTATAGACTTTATATATTTGGACATCACAAACATTTAATTTGAAACAATGCTGCATTCAACATACCATTTGACACACAAAAATCGATATTTAGGTCTGTTCTTATAATATTTATTTTTAAATTAAGAAATTAACTAATGTATAATACTAAAATTTGAATTATAGTCTACAATTTCATATCAAACTCACTGACATAAATTCATAAAATAGCAGTTCAATAAAATTTTGAATATAAGTCAACAAACGCGATGACATGGCCTTTGACCCATGACAATAGGATTAGTAAACATCTTCAGTGGTACTAAACTTAACCAATGGGGAAAAAAAAGTAAACTGAAAACTAGGTACATGGCGTGTACTCGCATTTCTATCACTGGTAACAAGGTGTTGTTTACTGATTACATGTAGTTTACCAAAGACTACATTAAATTCTAGTGTCCATTCATAACATGAAAAATGTATGATACACAAACATTTTTACATCTAAATATGAATAATTTTATGATAAGTAAGTACACTCATTGGTAATCCTTAAAGTGGGTAAGTAATGGAGAAACTTATGCAGTTACTTACACTTGTTGATCGACTGGTTGAAACGTCAATATGCATTTCTTAAACTCCCATACAAAAAAGATCAATTTACTAACTATTTCATGGTCTTTGTTTAGTATATGTTATTTATCATGTCTCCACAGAGAGACAAACTGTTTTCTATTGTTTCTTCTTTTTCCAAATACTTTTCAATTGACCACTTTATTCATTTCTTGGCCAATTGACATGAAACTTAATAGGGTTATACCTTTGTCCAATATCCCCACACTCCTTTTTTTTAATTCTTTTACTTAGGCCTTTTAAAGAATTTTATGATGTGAAATGTCAAACAAACCAAAAATGTATATTATGTGCTCCTGTGGGGTTATATTTACAGCAATTGAGATGAAAGTTGGCACAACACATTGACGTAAAAAAGTAGTTGGACTTTCCCATTTTGAGTCTGGGGGGGGGGGGGTTGGCTCATAAAAAAGCATACTTTTATTAATTATTTGGCTATACTTTGATCATTACATAGGATCTGGTACAAAGGTACTTTTCTACAGGTCCAACACATTGACAAACAAAAATGGTGCACTTGTCCATTTTAGATAACTTATAGAAGGGTCAAGATGCCACAAAAAAGCATAATTTTAGGGTTTCTGACAATTACTCCACCATATTTTTGGCCAACATACATAGTATTTGGTACAAAGATACTTTTTTTTACAGGTTCCAAACAGAGATAAACATTTTTTTGGAATTTTGTCTTTTGTTCAATTTTCTAGCAAGAAAAGCACAATTTGAGGTTTTCGTGAACTATTCGTGTGTATGTCAACCAACTTACATGGAATTTGGTACAAAGATACCTTCTTGTAATTCTCAAGCAGTGATATATAGACAGTTTTAGATTTTTCTGTGTTTTTCAAAATTTGCCATGTTGGAATTGTGTGGCAGAGACATGTTGCATTCGCACATGAATGTTGGCCTTTTTAATACGAATGAGGCCTTAGATGATTTATAAAGACTTCACATTAACATTTTCACACATGGACCGTAAGAACCATAAAATTCTTTAATGACTATACAAGTTTCTCTATGTTTTAAGTTATGAACAGGTGATTCTTTTTGGATTACTATTTAGTGTAGTAAAAGCAACTAAAAGACAAATTATTGTTTTTAAATATTAACTACTGCACAACCCTTTGCTATCACACAGACATTTTATACTACAAATTTTGTTGTTTATATGGTTCAGAAATAAATTTTATGATCAGATTATTGAGAAATAAGATTTTTATTATTTCTATATAATATATATCATGTGTCTACTTATGCTTTATAAAACTTTCTCAGTTTTACCATACTAAAAAAAAAAGAAATAAAAAATAATTACCTCAAAATAATCTGGGTATTTTGAGCAACTGTCTTCCAGCACTTGTTTAACTGGTGTTCCTGGAGTAGTTGCAGATGGTTCTATGACAGTTTCTGCTTCAGGTGGTTCAAGACAATTAAGAGCAGGTTCACTTCCCCTTCTCACTTGCAAAACGGAGGTGCCTGTAATCATAGAAAGACTGGTTATTATTTTGCATAAGCTTTCCAATAGTATAACTAATGTGACTAATATATGTAACATTTTTTACGATTAAATGTTTTGATTACCTTAGAATTAATTATAAATAAGCAAACATTACTTTAGTTATATAACTATTTTCAAATGTACAAAATTGAAAGTTCACAATTTTATTATTAATTGTCATATAAAATCATCTTTTTTGGAATCATAGTTCTACAAAGTTTCAAAATTTAAAAAAAGTTGCAATATTAGCAATAACAGGCTATCTTTACTATTTGCTCTGGAGTTCATTGAAAGCATAACTTAGCACACACTTTGTTTGAAAGATCTAATTTTAAACTGTCTCTACCTGTAGAAATATGAGCTGCAGTTATTTCTACATCTATATCATTGCAAGACTCGGGGTCTTCCTGGACACTGTCTGCTTTGTCTCCATTAAATATGTCTGGACTGCCAGTGCCAGCAGAACTAGCACTTGTACCATCCCCATTGTTGTGAGGTGGACGAGACAATGGATGCTCCTCGTAAATGGCAATAATCTGTGTAAGAAACAATATTTAGAAGGATGAGCCAAAATATATTGCTTAATTGCTTTGAAATATCTTCATTCATAACAATGTCTACATTGCTAGACTTCTCTTTACCTGTAATTGCTTATTTAAAAACTTAAAAACAAAATATAGGAAACAAGTTCTAGTATAACAGTCTTCTAGAACATGCATATAATTTAGAGCTGGGCAATTCAACCAACTACCTATGAACAGCAATTACATCTGTTGTGACATGTTCTTTTGTATAAACAGGTCCTTTAACTTACTTGGTTGAAATTTCTTTTACAATGTTTCTACAGCAAGCTATATTCATGTTGACAAAAGCTGTTCTCAAAAGGAAATTTGGGCTCTTCCATAGTCAAATTATTCAAGTTATCCAGTTGGCTGTTTTCACACAAAGACAATAACAGTTCCTCTCCTTCTGGATTCTGTAATCCACATCATTGATTATCTTTAGTACAAGGTATGGCTTTTCTAAATAACAGCTTAACTTTAGAGTTTGTCCTTTCTTGCAATGAGAATTGTTCAGCTATATCATGTCACCTCAATGAAACCCAGACTTATCAACATTAACATCATACCAACTTTTCATTTTTTCACAAGCTGACTTAAATCTTTTCTGGGTAAAGTAGTGCATGACGTCTTTATTCTTTGCATCCAAGACAGCTCTTCCAATCACCAATCTTTCAGAACATGCCAAAGTGTTTGGTTCCACAATTTCCCAGTCACTGATGAAGAAATATTGCTGACAGCTCCTGGTAAGAGTACTACCTATCGGTGATACAATGACCACCCTCCTTGTTGTCACCAGAAGTTCAACCTCTGATGCAGTAATTGCCATATCTTGATTTGAGGAATACTGTACTAATCGAGTAATGGGCCTATTGGTCAATCAATTGGCAAATACCATTAGTAGTCCAGCTTTAATATAATTGGTAATTTACTATTTAGTATGCTTTTATAATGTTATTAAAATAAAACTTTTAATAAATTATTTGCATAATTAAAAAATTAACTTTAATACATTAGAAAAACAAATAAAAAAGCCATAAATTTTATATATAAAAACACAGAACACAACTAATTAGCTGTAAATAATCAAAGACATTTTTAATCAAATTAACATAACAGTGCTAGGCTCAGCCATTTCTATAGTCTAAACCACAAATATAACAACAGCTATTTTTCATGCTGTATATTACTTCTTTTCCATACTCTTCAGTCTATGAATCACAGGTCACAATAATACCTTAACACTTGCTATAAAAATGTCCTTTTAACCTGTTACAGTACTTCTACGTTTTGCCTCATTGCATCTTTTATTTCATTCTGCTAATGCCATTGTCACAGTTAAACAGTTCCGTTTGAAGCTACATTCACATTCTGAGGCTGGTTAGAGCTATTAAATATTTCAAACTTTCTTGCTAACTAATCTTTTAAAAGAAGTTTGTTAATTGAAAGCTTGGCTAAATACTGAAAAACATAACAGTCTAGAAGAGATATTGTTCCAAACTAAAATAACTCCTAATAACAAAATAAAATTAACTGAAAGGGTATATTGTTGAATTTTTCCCTTTTTTGACTTAAAAAGATAATAATAAATTAACTTTCCACACAAATAGGTGAGCCTTTTAACATCCTAGCATCACAGTATGGTAAGGAAATAGCTAAAATTGAATGAACTGCAGGATCACAGAATGTAGTTACACAAAGACCATTACTTCATGAACTAAATAAAAACAACAACAACAACTAGAAATTGGAATATCTCCTATAAGATGTTGTATCTTCCATTTTACAATCTGTTAAAAAGAAGTCAGAATGTATATGTGCAAATTGTGAGTGGCCTATAAAAGTTTAGATATTAAAGAGGTTAAGTTAAGCCTAACT